ATGTCGTCAGCGGCTCCAATCTCGGTCCATACACCGTCTTCAAGGAGTCAAAGAATTCCTTGTGTTGGCGGCTTTCGGCGTAGCCTTCCATCTGCTTCGCCTTCTCAGTCCACCATGCATTTTTTATGCGACGGAGCTCTCGGGTCAGTCGCCGTCGAAGTTTGCGAAACTGACTCTTCCCCAAGTCACTGGAGTCTGCAACGTGCAGCAAATGCTGCATTCTTCTCCAACACCAATGCGCCGATCGTCGCATTGTTGTCATTAAACGAATCAGGCCGCTTACAGTTTGCGCGCCCGATGGTCTCCTCGGCAGCAGCTCCCACCTGGTCTCGAATGTGGTGCCACAGGTCGCCCACTGTGGCTATGCAGTCCACATCACACAGGCGTGCGGCCATCGCCTTCTGCAGCTCAGTATGTTTCGCCACAGTACCGAGGGAGAGAATGTTAAATTTACGCTGATTCACGGCGGGAGTGCAATACATAGATTTACGCAAATATATGTACAGTTTGGTCCGCACCAACTTGTGATCAGTGCCACACTCAGCTCCACGCAGTACACGTGTCATGCGCACTTCACGCATATCACGCTGACGTACGATGACATAGTCGAGCAGGTGAGCGTGACCACTGCGTGGGTGCGTCCAAGTTGTTATATCACGCGCACTCAGTGCAAACCGAGTGTTTGTGATCGTCAGCCGTGAATGGCACACAGTGAGAGCAGCCTGTCACCGTTCGCATTCGCTGAACCAATGCCATGCGGACCGATGACATCTGTCCACGCTGATGCATCACGCCCAACGCGCGCGTTGAAATCACCCAGCAGAAATAGTCGGTCGCTCCTCGGCACAGACCGTATCACGGAGGATAGCTCAGTGTAGAATTGATCACGCGTGTCATCAAGATAACACATGGTCGGACCGTACGTGCTTATAAAGGTGGCAAACTTACCTCTTCCGAGTCGTAGGCGAACAGTCATCAGTCGCGCGCTGATGCCCGTTGGTTCACCCACCAGCTGGCCATGGAGGCGATCGGACATTGCAAATCCGACCCCATGTTCACGTGGTGCTGAGGCGACGTTACCCACCCAGTATAATGTGTAGCCAGCACCTGCTTCATGCAACTTACCTTGCTCTGCGAGTCGGGTTTCACTGAGTGCCGCAATATCGATGTTGTAGCGCGCCAGCTCCATTGCGACGAGTGCAGTGCGTCGCTCCGGGCGTTCACTGGAGTTCCGGTCCAGTAGTGTGCGCACGTTGCAGCACTTGATGCTGAGTGCTTTGCGCGCAGGCATACGATTGCATTGGTGGGCAATCGCACGCGAGATGGTCGCTGTGCTTCGGAGGTTTGCTTGAGGGGCTCCGCCCGGAGCCTTTGGCTCAATAGTCTGACCTACAAGGCAGTGGGGAGCAGATCCAGCTTGGGAATGTGATTGCAGAGACAGATTAGGATCTGCTTGACGGCCGTCACACGCAGCCTTTGAGGTACTGGAACAATTATTATATGTTTTGCAACCGTAGTAGGATACGCACCTGCGACCACGGCCAGACGCAGGTGGGTTTTTGGCGGGTTTGCACCAATTTGACCAGGGGCTGCCTGGCTTGAGGCGTGCAGTAGCAAACCATTGCACACCCGGAGGTGTCCTCTCACCGTCAGAGACAATGCGTGGCACTCGTGCTCTACGCCAATCGAGCATTGAGAATATAACCCGTAAACCTGTTGTCTCCTATGGCTAGGTTTTACGGGAAGTGGGCCATCGACCACTTCCAAACCTCCGAAGAGGATGGACTAGGATACTGGCAGGGTGCCCACACCTGCTAGGAGAACGACTCGGGTCCTCAGCCAAAGCCTTCGATTAAATGAACACCCGAAATGCAGGGGGTCTAGCATATGGTCAGTTCACTGACTCATGCGGATTGGTGTCCTGGATCTTAGCAGGGAGAAGGGCGAAACCCAAATCCCACCCAGCGGTCGCCACGAGGAGGCGCCCAGGACATGAACAAATGGCGCAACAGTAGCAACAATGGGTAGACCATCTGTCAGGATCTAGCCACCACCAGCCTCAGCGCACCATAGGCTCTCCCGCCACACACACATACACACACACACATGGTTGGCGGCATCCGGTTTCGGATTTGCCTGTCACTGTGGCAAGCCACAGGACGCCTGCGCCTACAGAGGGACCATGGATGGCTTGCGCTGCACCACCCACAGCTCCAACCACATACCCCATATCCAGTGTAAACCCGAAGGAATAAGACCGGGAGGCATGCGGATGGGAACCACGTTTCATCAACGGAGCCGGCCCACACTCCTTCACAGGCAAACACAAGCACGCTGTATTTGGGGAATCAACCGCACACAAGGCGGTGGCTGGACCGTAGTCCGCTCCATACTGAGTGCATTGAACCACTCTTCGAGCCTAGCACGGTCACAAGGACCGTGCACCCCGTCCCCTCCAGCAACGATCAACTGTCTCCTGGAGCCAGTATGGACGAGGTAATAGACAGGTAGGCACCTTGTCAATATGCACATCAAGCGCAGCCACATCGGGGATATCAAACAACAGCCAATCACTTGAAACGACAAAATGAAATAAAATAAATCGGATAATGCATACAGATACGGTGGCATAACTCTTCGCTAAATTAGCATATGAAGTAATTTGGTTAGCAATGAATCCGCGATAAGGAAAAAGAATGTCCACAAGTTACTCAAAAATGCTACAAACGCAACAAAATTACCGAAGATAAACGCAATTAGCGTAAACAACAACCTATATATATATATATATATATATATATATATATATATATATATAGTTGAAACATTACCAGTCCGGCTCCGTAATGCCATACATACAATTACTTCTGATCCTAGGCACGGTTTACACAGCGACTGTGGGTCAAAATACGACCCGTAGTCTTATGGGTTACAGGCCCACCTTGTAATCTGATAGGGCGGGTTCGAGCATGCGTAGGGACTGGGAGACCCTCGCATTATCCTTAGCCCACGTGCGACCGGTGGTTGTTGCGCGGCAGCGATGCATCGGTACTGCGTACCGTCGTACTGCTGATGCCTAAAATACGACGGAAGAAAAATAACGCTAACTAGGTGAAGGTACACGTAAGGATGTGTTGGAAATTCTGCTGATAAAAGTTGTGAATCTACTGAACTCTTTCCAGTGAGCTCGTTGATAAACCCAGTGACGGCTGACATAGGAAATCGGCCAATAATCGATCTACCGCAATAGACGACACATTTGACTACAGGCGAGATACTAATGGTATTTACGCTTGACTGCATTAACAGCGTTCTAAAGAACAATAGCGAAACGAGCATTTACAACAGTTTGCATTTCAGTGTTGCGATGTAGACCCCCAGCGGTATGGTCAGTCATGTGTAAAAATCGTACAGTGAACATAATCGACCAGGTTCTTAATGAAGATTTGAGGCTTTTTTAACTAACGAAACGTTTTTCATTTATCAGACTCTCAGTAATTGATTCATCAAATTCGTTAGCACTTATTGTGAGTCAACAAACACTCACAGTGTCGCGAGACGAGCAGGGATGAATTAAGAGAATACAAAATATAGCGAGGGTATGTAACTGTAACTTACCAATTGCTCAATGAATGCAGCACTGGACTCACTCAAAAGTGTTCAGGAGTAGACACTGACTGAGATAAAATGTCTGGTTGTGTTTGCAAAGTTGTGTGAAATTCGAGTAGGTGATGGATATCTATGAATATATATAAGGCATGGTAAAATCTACTTGAAACGGTCTCTTTGAGACAGTTATTTAACATACAATTACCCCTGGAAATCTGCCGGTAAGCAGAAGGGGAGAGAAATATTTTTGTTTTCATGATGGCAGATATATGAAGCACTCATTGTTGTGGTCCTTTTGTGCTTCTTTTTCGTGGCCATTCTCCGATATTGTGCTTTTTGCTGCTTTGGGAAGGGTGATTTTCTTTGGCTGAGTTGCCGCATTTTTCAGTTTTTTTTTACAAAGCTGGGAAAATAAACGAAGGGCACATTGTTACGCTTCCTCACCATCGATTGTTTTCAGTGTACTCAAGTTGACATTGTGGTTGCTCAGATAAGGACAGCCACAGGTTGCGTATGCCCCCTTAGAAGCATTAATAAGGGATATTTCTGCGTCACTGCTTGTGTTTTTTTGGAGCGCTCACTACAGTGGATTGATTCTGCCGTGTCGCTTGTATTTCATGAGTCATCGGTTCGAAACGGTACCCATATGTGCAACCTCTCAGGTCACATGCTACCAGTACCGACCGCTTAGCTGCGACACACCCTTGTGATGTTCCGTCGTACTACTGATGCTTTTCGTCTCATCAGATCTACCACCAGCAATGTTGCAATTATCTAAATCCATGTGCGTTTACTGAACCAGTCTTTCGCCTCCTCACACTCATGTGCTTTTCATTTTCTTGATAACGTGTTTCCTGACAATCTGATACACCGCACTTGGGTGCTTATGGGATGTTGTGGTTAGACTGAATGGGCTCGCCACCCGAGTAACATTAGGTAACATCAGTCATCACATTGTGATGCGTTCTATGCATGCTGGACTGAAGTCAGGCAGTTTTTTTTACCTGCTACTAGGCACAAATAACCATGTGAATTCGTTCTCAGTTCTATCTCCCACATGCTTTTCTCGGACGGTCTGCGCTAGAATGGGCCTGCATCTTTGTACAGAGAGCGAGAGAGGGCTCTGTCTAGTAGCAGTACCAGCTTATCGGTGAACGACTTAACCGGCGTTGAAGCAGATTTCCTCTGTCAGGCTATCGCTCTGTCTCCGTTCTGCTTACAATGGACTTTTCTAGTTGCCCCATATCACTTTGTCTGTCAGCTCCTATGAGCATCTCAGTAGGAAGTGTTTGGCTTACCTGAGCTGAATCATGCAAATTGCTATGGAGTGTTCGATCGCTGTTTCATTTCTCATCTTTTCCCTGACTGTTTGAAATCCCATTTACCCACAGCCATTTGGGATTGCGTGGCAACTGTGTTCTTCATTGACACCGCGCACAACATCCTCAGCTATTTGGAAACTATCTGGCGGATATTGAAACCGGGTGGATTTTGGATCAACTTCGGTAAGAACAACGCATGTGCATGTTTCATTTATTGCCCACTACTCACCTGCTTGCTAACTTAGCCTCATTGCTTCTGTTTATCGAATGTATTTTGATTCCACTGTTTGTGCGCCTTGCTAAGACACTGAGATGATGAGACATCTCGGTGGTCCACTAAGTTTCGATTCCTGAATTTAGAGGCCACTTTTAATTCAGTGGGCCTAACGTGATTGTTGCAGCGTTTATAACCGAGTAATTCGTCCCACTTGTCCACTGGTCTCGTAGCACGGGTTCCGATGTCGATTGAGGCTCACCTTGGTCCACCGCATTTGGGATGCGTCAAAACCGCTACATTTATCTTACTCCTCGGCCTACATGCTCGAAGTGTTTACGAAAGACGGATGGGTATCCTCACAGCTGGAATCAATCATGCGACTATCATTAACCCGGAGACACAATGAACAATCTTTCTTTTGGGAGTCGTCAGCGCTGTTCACTCTGTCGGATTGCTGACGACTAGTCTTAAAAAGATGTAGCGGCTGTCACACCACTTTCCGGTTGTACGATGGTCGTCTGAATGGGTCTAGCTGTTTTTTTCCCTTCGCAATTGTTTAACCATCATTTGATTGTGTCGTATAGCGGCGCGGTAGCCGGGTTGCTTTCCACTTCAAGCTAACGTGTAGAATAATGTGTGGATATGCGCATTCCGCTTGCAAGGCTATGGTACCGCAGCTTTACTCTTCTTTATGTACCACACTCATGATATACCCCTTCCTTTAGCCTCTACAAATTCAACGATAAATCCATCCATCAAAGGCGGCTCGCGCTCGGAATGCGACAAGCATAGAGGAATCAGTCTGATCTCCATCGCCTCCAAATTACTCGCCTCCATACTTCTTCACAGATTGACTGGCGCTCGTGAAAGCCAGATACGTGAGGAGCAAGCCGGGTTTCGTCGAGGTCGTAGCTGCATCGGCCACATCTTCACCTTGCGTCAGTTGTTGGAGCACCGTCACACATTTTGGCGGCTCACCGTAGTCGTGTTCCTCGACATAAAAGGTGCCTTCGATTCGGTTGATCGATGTGCCCTTTGGAATTGTTTACTCAGGAAAGGTGTGCCCGAAAAATATGTGAATATTATCCAAGCATTATATTTGCGTAGCTCGGGCAGAGTGAGGGCTTACGGCAAGCTGTCGCCACCCTTCCATATCTCCAGCGGTGTGAGACAAGGATGCCCGTTGCCACCTTTCCTCTTCAACTTCGCTGTTGACGAAGTCATGGAGTTTGCATTTACAGGACATGACTTGGAAGGTGTGGAGCTACTCCCAGGAGAACGACTTCTTGACTTGGAGTATGCAGACGACATTGCCCTCATCTGTGACAGCTCCCAGACGTGCCAAGCCGCGCTGGACAGATTAGCACTGGCTGTCAGCCGCTTCGGGCTTTGCTTTGCACCATCGAAGTGCAAAGCGTTCCTCCAAGATTGGCACGCATCGCCTTATGCGCGGACCTTGGGTGGGGATCAGCCAGAAGTTGTTCAGAAATTCAGCTACGTGGGAATCTGTATCAGCGCTCTTGGGATCGAAGACGAGATTACGAACCGTATAGCGAAAGCTCGGAGTGCTTTTGCTAACCTTCGCCACCTATGGCGGCGGCGCGACATCACTCTCGCCCTGAAGGGTAGAGTGTACAATGCAGCGGTACGTTCGACCTTACTGTACGGTTGCGAAACCTGGCCCTAAGGTCGGCGGACTTGAAGAGGCTAGTTACGTTCGACCATCGGTGCCTTCGCAGTTTGGCTCACATATGGTGGGAACACCGCGTGAGTAACGAGCGTGTTCGACGCATTGTTTACGGCCCAGGAAAAGGATCTGAACCGCTCAGCACCGTTATTTCCCGCACCAGGCTCCGATGGCTCGGCCACGTGTTACGCATGCCAGCCCACCGACTTCCCTCGACGTGCGTTGTTTGCTCACCGGGGATGTGGGTGTAAGAAGAGGAGGGTGGCCAAGCGATGACTTGGTCCAGAGGAATGAGGCCCTCACTTCTGAGCTGGCCTCGGTTGGAGCGTCTCGGCTCCCTGGTTGGGGTCCAAAGACGATGAACACGTTTGGCTGGATACACTTGCTGACATGGCAAGGAGCCGACCTCAGTGGCGTTCCGGCTGTGAGTTTCTTTGTCCCTCCCCATCCCTTTTAGCCTCCCCCTCCATCTACGATCGCATTTCCTAGGGTAAAACATAATTTTAAAAAATTTTCTTTTTGCCGAGTAGCTGGCTGGTAGCTTACCGAAAGTATGCCTATCCGTTGCTGGTAGCTCAGCTGGCATGCAACTGTTGTATCTATTTTTCTTTTGTGTATTGTATTATATGTATGTATGTATTTCCTTCATGTATTGCGGCACAATAGCGGAGGTGTTTTCCAACCTCTAGCTGATATGTATAATGAATGAGTGAATGATCCTGAAAGTATCCGCTTTTAGACGGGGAATACAGCACTGTTCTCAGCGGGGATCGCCGACGATGATAGCTTGTTCTGGACTAACGAACTAGAAACTACTATCACCCCTGAAACCAATGTAGGCTCCTTTCTTACAAATGCATAAATAGTGTCTTCTCGACATTGCGAGGCACGCTTGTACAGCCGTGATCACGAATGATCGAGAAATGCACATAGACGTTGCAAGTTTGCCTGTAACATTTAATTCATATGGTATAGGTCTCTCTGTGTGTGTAGCAGTGTTGCTTGAATTTGTGGATGTGCCACTGTATCTGTGATTTTATTTAGTCGGATCGTCATCGTGAGAAGAGATCAGAGGAAATCTTCAACTCGGTTGACTGATGTCCGCGAAGTATGTAGGATCCTTCGGACAAACAAAGTGCAGTGACTTTATTTAATGGCACATCATATCCGCCACGTCGCATTGTTTTTAACCAGGCATTTGTGGCTTTTTATGGTGAGAGCGCCTGCCAGGCGGAAATTCATAGCGTCCTGCAACACTGCCGCCGAACTATTCGCTGGAACGAGCTTTACCCGAACCCCCCAGCATACACCACGGGATGTTGTTTGGCGAGCCAGCCATCCACTTTTTTCTTGCTAGCTGTGCATCACCAGAGTTTCTTCAGGTCCTGGTTCTGATACCACGGAACCAGCAGCACCAAATGCGTTTCTTGTCACTTGACCATCCGTCAGCTACTCATCTATATTCTGGAGCGTGGCACTTGGGCGCCCACCGTCTGAAAGCGGTGCTACCAAGAAACAGCCGGTACTCCGCGCACAGTTGCAGCGCAGACGATCGCCGTTGTCCGTCCGGTCAGAGGCAAGTGCATACTTACCACCTAGCAGAGCTTCTGAAGAGCTCAGACCACCTCCTCGCACATTCATATCCTCTGCAACAACAACAACGATATCTGAACTGGTAACAGTGCGAATCGGCATGTTCACTTTGTGGTAGATGACCATGGAACAATGGTTTATTATGGGTAAAAATGCATTGCTCAACAAGTCCCATGGGATGGAAATTATTGCGAAAAGTGTATTGCATGATAAAGTGAAAAACGTTTTGGTGGACTCACCGTAGACTTATAGGGAATAGCGGAGATGTTCGTGTATTAATAGTGTAAATCCATTGGTTAGGCGTTTGGCAAGACACCGTTTGATTGCGTTTTGTAGCCCCTGGCTAACAAGTCATAACATGAAATGTGAGACAGTGCATCGTCAACTCCTTTGTTACATATCGCCAGATTGGGAGCAGAGACGACATAATTAGGGAGGGCGTTCCAAGGCTGGCACACGCGGAGGGAAAAGAAATTTCTACGGCATTCAAGCCGGCTATACTGAATTGTCAGTTTCAGAGGGTGACCTCTTAGTTTAGTGTTGTGGTTCAATTCCAGCAACGGACGACAAATGTGGTTTGGGTTCTTCAGAATCTGGTAAACCATTGTGAGATCCCCCCGCAAAAGCCAATATCGACTGCTGTACATTCCTAGAGATTTCAGTCTAAGTCGGTAAGGCAGATGAAAGAGACCCCTGACGTTCTTGGTTGCCCTTCGTTGAGGAGTCTCGAGAGCAACGAGATCCTGTTTCTGCCACGGGTGCCACACCAGAACAGCATATTCCACGTGAGGTCGCACGTAGGCGTTAAGCATTTGGGGGACGATTGAGGGTTCAAACCGACCGAAGGCTTTGCGAAGAAAGCCGAAGTGTTGATTTCCGGTTCTCATCACCTTCTTTGCTTGTTTTGAACAACCGAGATCTTCCTGTACCAATACATCCAGGTTATGCTCCTGACAGACCTTCTCCAAGCTTGTAAGCGCTCACCAGCTGGTGACGCAGATGTATCACCTTGCATTTAGCTATGTTCAGTGGAAGCATGTTCCTCTTTGACCATTCGTAAATGCAATCTAGGTCATGTTGGAGCAGATACTGATCTGGATTGTTACTAATCTCCCACCATATCTGGACGTCATCGGCGAAAAGCAGGAAACTTGAGGAGATAACTCTTGCCAGGTCGTTGATAAACACCAGGAAGAAGCGCGGTCCCAGCACCGCGCCTTCCCGGACACCGCATTCAACCTCAAGCTTGATAAACTGCAATCCCCTAACACGTATTTAAAACTTCCGTTGGTGAAGGAAACTGCCAATCTAACTAAGTACCGGATCTGCGATTCTGTAGCTCTGTAGCCGTTGAAGTAGGATGCGGTGATCCAGGCGGTCGAAAGCTTTGGAGTAGTCCAGATAGATGACATCAACTCCGCCCCATCATCAGCCACTTCCGTCCAGCTGCCTCGTGCAATCAGTTAGTTGGTGGTGCATGACTCGTGTTGACGGGAGCCATGCTGCTCCGGTGCCAAGATGTTGCATTTTTCAAGGTAGTCCATTAAAGCCTCAGCGACGACTGCTTCCATCATCTTCGCGAGAACAGGGAGAAGAGTCACTGGACGATAGTTTGCAGGATCTGAACGGCTACCGCTTTTAAAATTAGGGGTGGTAATGCTACACTTCCACATAGTGGGGACTTGT